AAGAATGTAAGAGTTAAAGTGAATTGAGGTAAATACTGCAACTGATGGTAGGTGGGGAGGATTGCAATTATTGTAATGAAGCAAATGGTAAGATCTGTTGACTGTAAAACAGATGTAAACCTTCACTTAATAAACAATAAAGAGTTTTTTGTGTTTTTCTTTTTTTTTAAACCTACTCATAGTGGTGTTTTTATATAATATTTTCCAGGATAGGAGGTTTCCTTTCTCATAAGGAAGGTAGAATTACACAATGGAGATGGTTTACTGTTTGGGGTTCACTGTGTCACATTCAGGTTTAGAAATTACAGTGTAACGAACATCCTTTGTTAAACCCATACTTGGTTTCCTCCCAAATGCCCAGTTCTATTTTTACCCAGTTCTATTTTTACCCGGTTCCAGAACTGCCTTTCTCTTCCCTGGAGGCTGACCATGTCCCCTACCTGTCTTGTAGCCATCACTTGTGGTTCCTGATCCAATCTCATCTGAACTCTCCCAGTATCCACCTGCTACAAGTCCCAAACAGTTTCCCATTTTAGACAATATTTATGTTGGCTAAATATTGGCATAAGCAAGTCATAGCTTGGCATGTTGTTAAACACCACAGCAGACGCTGAGCAGATGTCTTCCTGTTTAAACATTGGTTTTCATTTATGGCTGCTCAGAGTGACACCTGTCTTCATTGGCAGTGTGCTGAAAAGTTCTTGTAAGGGTAATGGAACGGTCCAGTTTCGTGTTGCATTTACAAATGTGGCATCACCTGGGGAGCATTTACAAATGCCAAATGCCCAGACCACCCACCATTGCAGTTAAATCAGGCTCTGAGGGTGGGGTGGGGTGGGGTGGGAGTTTTACAAAGCTCCCTAGGGAATTCCAATGTGTTCCAGTTCAAAGTTTCTAAACTTGAATGTGCATAAGAAATCATATGAGGATCTCATTAAAACACAGATCCTGATTCAATAGGGTTGGGTGAGACCCAGGAGTCTGTATTTCTAACAAGAACTCAGGCAGTGAGGATGAAGCTGCTCATTGAAGGACCATACTTAGAGTAACAAGTCTGTAGCCTTTCTAGTGCTTGCTAATCAGCCTTGCAAAGATTGTCCAGAAAGCAGTAATTCTCTTGAGTCTCCACGTTGATCCATTCTGCTCTTCTCCATCACCTGCCCCCCACTCCCCCATACTCTACAGCAGCACTCTACTGGTATCTCAGTGTGGACCACTCTATTCTCTTGATAGTGATTCCCTTGAAAGCCACCACCACAATATAGTTAAAGAGTCCTTCGGTTCAAGAGAAACAAACTTTTCTGTGGATCTTATTTTCTATGTATGTACACCCATCTGCCAGAAGCACACTGAGCACAAAGACATGTCCTCCAGGCTAAGCAAACCCTCTGAACAATATTGCTCCAAATAGATTAGTCATTAACAATGATGTCACTAAAGGGAACTGCTCTGGGTGACACTGTGAGACGGGGCGACACCAAAATGAATGTCTGGAAAATGTGTGTGTGTGTCATTTCAATGAAATTTATTATTTTTTAAATAACGATATTCCTGCAGTTAGTTATAACAACCTAAGCATTTTTCATAAGTCTGGTTTGCATGTTATCAATATGCCTATGAGGCTAAAACTCAGCGCTAATTTAGCTTTTTAATCGTCTACTGAGCTCTCATTATTACCCAATCACAACGACACTTTGAATCACGTGGTTTCACCCGCATGCGCTGTAAGCACACGAGGTTGGTTTTGTTGTCGATATTTTTATAGCAGCTGATCTTGTCAAATGTTCTGGTGTTTTAGTTATCATACTGTGATAAACAGTATTTGTGCGCCTATATCCATAACATTTTTGAAAATGAAGTAATCATTAAAGAAAAAGGAGGATAAAAATGGCGTCCTCTCAATTATCAATAATGTAATTCGTAATGAAATTCTGTAAAGAAAGATTTTACAAAACAATATTGTTTTTATTCATATAATTTAGGAGCTGTTCAATGCAAACCACTTACAACCATATGTATCACATATTATTCGAAGATTTAGGAGACCAGGTGCTGTAGTGGATTAAGCATCTGGCTTCATTAACTGGGCTGCTACTTGCTAATCAAGCCCAGAGGTCCTCTGATGGAGAAAGATGAGGCTTTCTACTCACGTAAAGATTTACAGCCTTGGAACTCCTACACAGGGTCGCTAGGAGTCAGAACTGACTTGATTCAACAGCCAGCCAGTCTAAGATTGAAATTGATGCTCAGCATCACTAAGGTAATGTATGGTCTGGTATAGGACAAGGCCCATGGGGTGGGGTGAGGTGACACCCTAAGTTACCATAGTAGGTGACCCCAACCTCAGTAATACCACTGGCCACAAATACTAGGTCTCTGGTCAGAAGGAGTCATTATGATGGAAAGGAATTGGGAGAAGCGCAAAGCAATTTACAGTATGGGATAATTCCATTTACAGAATCTTGGAAAATAACCTGCCTAATGTTTGGCGCTGTGGGCTAATGCGTCAGACTGCAAAGTCGTTTGAACTGCAAGGTCAGTGGTTCAAGCTCACCAGCTGCTCCTTGGAAGCCCTATAGAGGGTCGCTATGGGTCGGGATCGACTCAATGGCATTGACAACAACAATGTTCTATTGAGCCCTGGTGTCGCAATGTAGGATAAGCACTGCACTGGAAATACAAAAGGTTGGCAGTCAAACCCACCAGCTGCTTTTGGAAACCCTATTTAGGGTCGTTATGAGTCAGAACTGACTGGACGGTTGTTGTTATTATGGGTCGTGGAGTCGTTCCGACTCATAGCAACAATATTCTATTGGCTTTAGACCAATGCTTGTCAAATTGTTATCTGAGGCCTATGGCCTGTGAACTTATTCTTGAGGATCCAAAACTTTTCTATGAGGCTTTTAAAGCAGTTTATTGTATACTTATAAGAAGCTATAAAACCAATAATAAAGACAGTGCATGTTCAGGATGACTCAGTGCTGGCATATGATTTCAGTACTTGTATTGGTGTTTAGATCTATGATGATACTTACACCAAACACCCATGCTTTAATTGTTGCGTGCTTATGATAAAAGAACAGAGAACAGAGAGGGAGGCTTTATATAAGAAGCATGTGTTTGAGTCAAGAGAAGGCCAATGGTATTTCAGGGAGCTGTATAAACAAAAGTTCCCCAGTAGGTTGAATAGAAAAACGTGATACAAGAACTCAGTAGCACCCCACATTGTATTTCAGACATGGTGAAACTCAAAGCCAAAAAAAAAACAAAACAAACCCCCAAATCCAGTTTAATAACAATCAGAACCATATTTTTACATTTAATACATTTAATCTCAGCAAAATAGCATTGTCTACCCCACGGAAAAAGGGAACTCGGTGGCTCTGTAGGATAAGCATCGATTTTCGAATCACAAGGTTGGCAGTTCAAGCCCACTAGCTGCTCTGTGGGAGAAAGATGAGGCTTTCTCCTCCCTCAAAGATTTACAAGCCTCAGAAATCCAGTACAAGGTCATTACGAGTGGTCAAGTGCTCAGATGCTAACCCAAAGTCAGTGGTTCGAATGTGTGAGCCACTCCACAGGAGAAAGATGTGTCAGTCCGCTTCCACAAAGATTTACAAGCCAGTAATCCCTCTGGGACCATTCTACTGCGCTGCCCTATAAAGTTGCTATGAGTTGAAATCAACTCAACAGTCGCAAGTTTGCTTGTTTTTTTTTTTTTTTTTTGGAACCCACTACATTAATAATACGACATCTGGTGTGACACTGTGGATCAGCACTGCATTGGGAAGCACAAGGTCTGCAGTTCAAACCCACCAGCTGATCCTGGGGAACCCTATACAGAGTCGCTATGAGTTGGAACGGACTTGACAGCACTTAACAACAACAACAAATGAATCACAGGAGTCCTGGTGTGGCACTGTAGGCTGAAGTACTAGACTGCAAGGTCGGTTTGAACCGCAAGGTCTGTGGTTCAAACTCATCAGCTGCTCTTGAAAATTCAAGTAACTTTTTAATGCAAATAATTTAAGATATTATTGGATGACTATTTTTTGTTCTTTATAAAAGGGCTCTGCATTTACTCAGTTATGATTTTTACATTTCCTTACTGTCATTGTCATTGTTGTTAAGTGCCATTGAGTCAATTCTGCACAACAGAACGACACACAACCCAGTCCTGTACCAGCCTCAGAATTGTTGTGATGTTTGAGCCCACTGCTCCTGCCACTGTGTCCTTCCGTCTTTCTCTGAAATGTCATAAAGGCCATCATGTACCCTCATGAATATGCTATCAAGGGGGCACTTGGAAATGTAAACTGAGCTTCTAGACACTTAGGTTCCTGTTAGCCAGCATTGAGTCACACCTCAAGCCCAATGGAATTGGCCCAGTGTGATTCATAGGGTTTATGTACATTGGCTGATTTTTTAAAGTGTCTTGCTGGATCTTTCTTCCTAGTCTATCTTTGCAGGAAGTTCTGCTGAAACCAGTTCAGCACACAGCAACATCCAAACCTCCACTGAGGGTTGCACATGAGGTTCATTGGCTAGGACTCAAACCCAGGTCTCCTGCATGGGAGGCTGGGGAGAATTTTACCATAAAATGCCTCCTCTAGAAGTTTACATTCTGACGTTGTTGTTGTTAAGTGCCATCGAGTTGGTTCTGACCCATAGAGACCCTGTACAGGGTTTCCGAGGCTGTAAATCTTTACGGGAGCAGAAAGCCTCATCTTTCTCTCATGGAACAGCTGGTAGTTTCGAACTGCTAACCTTAAGGTTCGCAGCCCGATTTGTAACCACTACGCTACCAGAGCTCCTTACATTCTGACATTAGCAGCAAACATGGTAATGTTGTTTCCTGAGGGAAACCTTCCTGCTTGGAAGGACTATTGTACCTGCTGAGGAGATGTTTCGATTGGAGGATTGAAGGTCCAATATGAAGGGTCATTAGTAAGCACTTGGGCCTTCCCTTGATATAATTTGGAGGAAGATAAAGTGCTTACGGGCTGCTGTCCCTCTGGCTCCCTGCTCCCTCCTGGATGGCTGACAGGCTGCACTGTCGGGAGCTGGCTACCCCTTTGGGGCAACTGGTGACTGCCTTCTGAGAGGGAGTAGGACTGGCTCTGAGGATTTAAAATAGAAATATGTCAAAATGCTTGCCCACTCTCAAAGACCAGCTGCTTGGAGGTTGACTTGTAAAAACTGGATTTGGCCCCCTAAGCTGATAGTAAATGAAGGGGACAATTGTTACTCCGATTTCCAGAAGTCTTTAAAAAGTGGCTTTCCATTTCTCACAATGATACCCTAAATGGCTGACTCATAATCTTCACTAGTACCAAAATGCTATTTACTAATGTTTTTAAAAAAATAATGCCCCTTTGGAAAAAAAAAAAAAAGACTGGGGACTTACAAACATCTACATACAAGTTTAACATATAACAAAGATGTTGTTAAATGCTGTTGAGTTGGTTCCGACTCATAATTAATGACTCTGTATAGGGTTTTCAAGGAGCGGTTGGTGGGTTTGAACTACTGACCTTGCTGTTAATAGTACCGTGGTTATCCTACAGAGTAAAGATAAAAATCTTATAAGCAAAGCTATGTTGTTAGCTGCCATCGAGGCAATTCTGACTCATGGGGACTCCATATATGGGACAACCGAACTGTTCCTTCCCGTTCTCTTGGAGGTAGTCTTTAGGAAAGCAGTTCTTTAGGCTTTTCTTCCTTAAAGCTCCTGGGTAGGTTTGAACAGCCAACCTTAAGGTTAGTTGTTGTTGTTGTTAAGTGCCGTCAAGTTAGTTCTGACCCATAGTGACCCTGTATAGGGTTTCTGAGGAGCAGCTGGTGAGCTTGAACCACCGACCTTGCAGTTCAAACAGTTTTGCAGTCTGGTGCATTAACCCACAGTGCCACACCAGGACTCCTTAAGATAGTCAACCATTTATACCATCCAGGCTCCTTAACAAAGTTATGGTCTGAATTTTGTAGTTTCATTCTTCATCCTTAATGTGCACACAATAAATTATTCTTGCTGAAGAAAGCTACACTAGGCACAGCAACATCTTATTAAAATTCTCATCACAACAACTTTAGATACATATTGTTCAATGTAAAAAATCAAGATTTAACTATGGTCTGTCTTGTGGACATGCTATTTACATGAGCCTAGATAGTCTATCTTGGATGTTTCCAAATATCTGGATGGGATGCTGTTTAGAAATGATCCTGAAGCAGTTTTAAGTTTCAATACAAGTTATATGGCCTCCCAGCAATGTTTCTATCTCAGTCTACTGATATTTGCAACATGAGTCTTTCTTTCCCAGGCATAGTTGCAGTTTGCGAAACTTTGCTACAAACTATAACAATTTTAGTCTACATTCCACAAATATATATTAACCATCTGTTCTCTGCAAAGGCACCATTTACTTTTTTTTAAAAAAGCATCCCTTTTGCCTCTCCCAAGACCTTCTTGGAGCTCTGGTAGCTTAGTAGTTATGAATCGGGCTGTAAACCACAAGGTCAACAGTTCAAAACTACTAGCTGTTCCGCGGGAGACAGATGAGGCTTTCTGCTCCTGTAAAGATTTACAGCCTTGGAAACCCTGTATAGGGTCGCTATGAGTCAGAACCGACTCCACGGCACATAACCAACCAAAGACCTTCTTGGCGTCCTGGTGTAGCGCTATGGGCTAATGCACCAGACTGCAAAGTCGTTTGAACTGCAAGAACAGTGGTTCAAGCTCACCAGCTGCTCCTTGGAGACCCTATACAGGGTCGCTATGGGTCGGAATTGACTGGATGGCACTGAACAACAAGGCCTTCTTAGAGTCCTGGTATGACTCTGTAGGATAAGCACACAACTGCTAACCATAGGTTGGTAGTTTAAACCCAGCAGCCTGTCCATGGAAACCCTATACAGGGTTGCTATAAGTTGGAACTGACTCCATGGCGCTAATAAGAAGACCTTTTGCCTCTGGGGGAAAACCTTTCAAATTCATTTTTAAATCATGGTATGCTTTTGTTAAGAAGCTGTAATAGTTTAGTGGATTATGAGCTGGGCTGCTAACAGAAAGGCCAGCAGTTCGAATCTACCAGTCGCTTCAGGGGAGAAAAATGAGATGTTCTGCTCCAGTAAGTATTTACAGCTTCAGAAACCCTACACAGGGTGGCTATGAGTTGGGACCGACTCCACTTCACACAACCACCACCACCATGCTTTTGTTAAAAACAGTAATGAAAGTAAACATAAAATATAAAAGTACCAATCCTTATTTCATAATTTAAGTTCCTCTACAGTTAAACCTCAAATAAAATTTTAGCAGTTTGACTACTTACATGATGATTGCCCATTTTCGTCTTTCTAGATAGTTGATCTGAATTTCATGAAGAGATCAGCTCTCCTGCTGGCAAAGTTGATAATGGTTTTTCCAAGGCATCATACTAGCTCTTGAGATTAATAAATAACTTTTGCATTGAATTTGAATATAGTGTAGGGGATGGGTAGTGAGCAGCAACAGCTACAAATGAAATTAAACTGCCAACGCTGTTTAAAGAGCAGGCTCTCTCTTTAAAAAATAAAATACTGATTAATAAACAAAATGTTGACTTTTTTAAAAAGTTGATTAATTATGTTCACAACTAAATTAATTGCCTCACTTCTGGATTGTGAGTGTGTATTTGAATCTATAAGGAGCTCTGGTAGCGTAGAGATTAAGAATCGGGCTGCGAACTGCAAGGTCAGCAGTTCGAAACTACCAGCAGCTCTGTGGGAGAAAGATGAGGCTTTCTGCTCCCATAAAGATTTACAGCCTCGGAAACCCTGTACAGGGTCGCTATGAGTCAGAACCAACAGCACATAACAACAACAATAACAACATTTGAAACTATATCTTGTGATAATAAAAGCATTAAGCAAGTATAGGGTAAAACCTTGCTGATTTCCTAATATCACTCTGATTACCACATAGAATCTTTTTGGAGCTACATGGAGTTAACTAACGTCATCCACTTATAATTTAATTAGTTTTAAATGAAAAAATTAACATGTACAGATGTTAATTTTTCTTCTAATAAATTGTATATTAATAAATAAAAGGGTACATGAAAAATAAGCCTATTAGGCCTCCTGGGCCATTTTCCAAAGGATTTCTTGTGAATTGTTTGAGAAATGATCTATGCATACACACACGTCTGTCTGTTCCTCTCTCTTCTCAGCCTGTTGTTTCAATAAATACGTTTGAATGCATTCTTTTCCTTGCTTCATTAGATGTTTCAGATATTAAGTAATATGCAACATTGCCATCTTTTTTTAAAATTTTCAGTTGTCTCATGGGATTTTATCATGTGTATGAACCAAACCTTATATATAAGCAGCCCATTTGGGTTGTTTCAATTTTTTGCTTTTACAAAACCGTTGAAGCAAGTAGCTCCATAGACACATGTCTGCTTACGCATATGTATATATCTGAAGAATAAAATCTTGGCATGAAATTGGTAGGTGTGTAAATGTAAACTTCTGATATAATGTATATTGCCACATCATCTTCCGCAGAGCCTGCACCAATTCACACCCCCTCTTCCAGAATGTTGTTGTTGTTGTCAGGTGCCATCGAGTCGGAACCGACTCATAGCGACCCCATGCATAGCAGAATGAAACAATGTCCGATTCTGGGCCAACCTCACTACCGCTGCCACACTTGAATCCATCAATGATTCCACCTGGCCAATCCATCTTTTTCTCTGTCCTGGTCTTCCTCTTTTTCTCTGTCCCTCCACCTTACCCAGCATGAGATCCTTCTCCAGCGACTGTTTCCTCCGGACAATATGTCCAAAGTATGAGAGGCGAAGCTTAGCCATCTTGGCCTCCAAGGAGCACTCTGGCTGCACTTCTTCCAAAACAGATCTATCAGTTCTTTTGGAAGTCCATGGCACTTTCAGTATTCTCCTCCAACACCACAACTCAAAGGCATCAATTCTTCTACGATCTTCCTTATGCACTGTCCAGCTTTCGCATCCATATGAGGTTATTGAAAACACCATGGCATGGGTCAGGCGCACCTCAGTCCTCAAGCTGACATCTCTGCTCTTCAATACTTTAAAAAGTTCCTGTACAGCAGATTTGCCCAATGCAATACGTCATCTGATCTCTTGACTGCTGCTTCTGCAAGTGTTGATAGTTGATCCAAGAAGAATGAAGTCCTTGACAACTTCAATCTTTTCTCCATTGATAAGAATGTTGTTCATTGGTCCAGTGGTGAGGATTTTTGTTTTCTTGACATTGAGATGTAATCCATATCGAAGGCTGTGCTCTTTGATCTTCATAAGCTAATGTTTCCAGTCCTCCAGAATATTCCTACATAATGATCAACACTACCTATGATGAAACTTTTCATCTTTTGCCACTTTTAATGGGGGAAGTTATCTCACTGTTTGAATTTATATTCCTTTCATTTTGATATCCACATATGTCCCATTTATGTCCTTACAAGCTATTTTCATGATTTTTGTATGTGAATCTGCCAGTTCATGCCCCTTATTAGTTTTTCTTTGGGGTTAATTTTTTCCTTATTGAGTTATAACAAGATAGTTGAAAAAAAAAAAAAAAGTCTAGGTCTTTGTCAAGTAGCAATTATTTTCCCCCAATTTGTTGTATGTCTTTTGTCTCTGTGTACATGTATGTTTTAAGTATGTATGTGTATGTCAAGAAAAATGTGCATTTTCATGTGTTCAAACCTATCAGTCTATTCCTTTGTGACTTGCTTAGAAAATGCATTTCTGAATTTAGATGACTAAAATTTCTTGCTCATTTTCTTCAAATTCTCTCAATGACTTCAATTTTTAAGTCTTACATCTCTGGTTCTTTTCTAATTGAATTTTTAATATAAAATGTAAGAAGAAAGAAGGGAAAAATGCAGCTTTAACTTTGGTTATTCAATCCTGGATAGTTACTAAATAATGCATTTTTCTTTTCTGGTCTAATATGCCATCTTTATCATACACTAAATTCCCATATAACAAAATTAAAATTCTATAGCGGTTTATTAAATCCTGGTTGTATATAGTCACTTCTGTGTGCTTTCAACCTTTATCTATTGAGTGTTGTGTTGTTGTTGTTGCTAAGTGTTGGTAGTAGGGGGGTTGTTGTTAAATGTCGTCGAGTCGGTTCCAACTCGCAGCAACCCTGTATTGGGTTTCTGGGGAGCAACTGGTGAGCTTGAACCTCCGACAGTTTGGTTCAAACCAACTTTGCAGTCCAGTGCTTTAACCCACAGTGCCACACCAGGATGTGGCTAATTGCTGGGACTACAACAATGAAAGGAGCTTTAGTAGCCTAGTGGTTACGAGTTGGGCTGCTAACCTCAAGGTCAGCAGTTTGAAACTACTAGCCGTTCATCAGAAGAAAGATGAGGCTTTCTGCTCCCTTAAAGATTTAAAGTCTTGGAAACCCGACACAGGGTCACTGTAAGTCAGAGTGACTCCACGGCACAGCAATGCCACAACCACCACAATAATAAACAAGGTGAACATGGATTTCCTCTTCCTAGAATTTACAGTTAAGTGGTGAAGATGGACAAGGAGCAAACACAAATTGTGATAGGGCTCCGAAAAATGCTGTGTCAGGATGCTAAAACAGAGAATAATCTGTGTATGTGTGTGTGATTTATTTTAAATAGAGTTAAGACTCTCCAAGGAGCTAACATTTAAGCTGTGAACTAAAGGATAAGACGGAATCTGCCATTTGGAAAGAAAGAATGTTCTTAGCCTGTGCTGAAGCTCAGAAATAGAAGAGAACTTTGCAAATTGGAGGAAGTGAAAGATGGTCCAAGAAATTTGAGTCTGTTGTGTGCCAAATGGTGCGCTGGGGACCGGGGACACCGTGGTGAAGAAGACAAGATTTCGTTCTCTCAGGAACTGACACCTAGTAAAGAGAAGGTGAGAAGATCTAAGTTAACCATCAGCGCTTTGACCTTTTACAGTTACTATCTTCTCTAGCATCTAATTTATGCTTTATATTCCATTGCCTCCTCTGTCAGCCCAAACTTCAGCTCAGATCCAACCAAGCCCTTCCTGTCCCACCTTAGCACTTTGGAGCTGACTTCTGTGTCACTGTTGCCTCCTAGAGAAAACCATCATCAGTGGCGTCCCATCCCCTCCCTTCCTCTTCACACCAGGCTTTTTAAGATCAAAGTTCAGAATGGGTAGGGCAAGTTGATATGTGGTGCTTTCTGCAGAGATAAGTTCTGTTCAAGGGTGCTGAGTTAATAGGCACAATAAATACCTCTTTAAGAAGAGATAGTGTTTATGACCGCTGGGAGATGAAAGATAAAAAATGGAGAAGTCAAGGGCTAGAAATGTTGTAGTTGTTGTTAAGTGCTGTAGAGTTGGTTCCACTCAGCAACTTTCCGAGGAGTGCCTAGTGGGTTTCAAGTGCCAACCTTAAGGTTAGCAGTCCAGTGCTTATCCTATAGAGCCACACCAGCATACCAGGGCTAGAAGTTTTAGTAGCTGTTGTTAAGTGCTGTCGAGTGGGTTCCGACTCATAGCAACCCAGTTTAGAGTTTCTGAGGCTTTAAATCTTTGCAGGAGCAGAAAACCTCATCTTTCTCCTGTGGGGCAACTGTCAGACTTGAACCACAGACCACATTCCAGCGCTTATTGTAGAAATAGGAAACTGGGATATTTATAAACACCTTAATTTAACTCACCTTTTTTGATGTAAAAACACAGCAAAGACTTGTGTTTTAGATTGGTCTCTGCTTAGGAGTGTGGTCACTTTAGGGTCCTTCACACTCTCCGGTGGTTCTCAGGTCTCTACTATGTAAATGTAGGGTTGGACTTTGTCTCTCCATTTACTTGTAGGCAGCAGAGATTGAAAATAGAGCCTGTGGCAATTCGTTTTAAACTGCTGAATGAGATCACTCATAGATGCTGATGGAAACTGAGATGGCCAATAGAAAGTATTCATTGACAACCCCCCTTCCAGAGGTGCCCAGGGTATGTGCTATATCTGACATACCTTAAATCTGCCTTTGGTTCCAGATCTAGGATATCATGAATAACTTGGACTTAGGAAGGTATATCAGATGGGACTCTCTGGTTCTAAATGACTAAAAACCTAACTCACAATAACTTAAGCAAACAAGGTATTTATTTGCTCACATAATTGGAAAATATAAGGGGATCCTGCCTTCAGGCATAGCTGGATGTAGCTGCTCTATGATTGGATGATGCCCATGCATATCATCTCCAAAACTTAAAGTCCACTGATCATGTTTATCACATCTACAAAATACCTGCTCAGCACCTCCTAGGTTAGTATTCAACCAAACAACTGGGCAGCATCTGGCCAA